GGCGGGGGTTACTAGAAAAGGGAAAATACAAGCAAATTAAACTTCAGCTTTAGCTCTGACGTGCAGAACCCAGCAAATTAAAATCATATCCCATCGGAATGGCAATAAATAACTACAGAACAAAGGAACCTGTTGACAGAAAATGCATAATAGTGACAAAAGAATGGCAATGGTTTCCTCCTCCAGTTTTATACGTGATATCTGATCAGTACGGAAAAGGTTAACCACCTCACATTTATCCATTAACAGATAACAGTGGCCTCCGAGGCTCTTCTGTAACAGCGATGATGAGTTCCTGTCCGAAGGACGACTGTCCGTCACCAACCATATCCATCACAGGTCAGTTCCAATATACATCCTGCTCCTGAAATCTGGAACTCAGCCACCCAGTTCTCAATTTCCTGAGCTATTAGATACTCCGGAACATACTGTAACTTGTATAAAAATTCTAGCAGGAAAAGTGGAAGCCCTTCATTATAGCGGCTGCAGGATTGCTTGAGACTCCCCAAGCGATATCACTATTTGGTGGGCTACTGCCCCCAACTACCCCAACAACATTTCTGTTGCTGCAATGCCGCCTGCTGACAGAGCTTCTATTCATCTCACCAAATAGCCAGTTGATTCCTTAAGGGCCCCTTTACACCTATGCGCACCCATTGATTTGTGTGTTCAGTGCAGGGCAATGATATTAATTTTCAGGGACATGCCGACACACATACACAGAGTAAACAAATGCACTTGACCCTCAGCGCCCCAAAGGGCATGTCATGAAGCAGTGGTGAGCAACCAAGTCCCATTTTGCATCGCAAAACCCTATTAACCACAGGCATGGCTCCCAAAGGCAGTGAGATGATGGCAGTTGTGTATCCAGGGTCTGGCATATATGGAACATGCCCTGTGCGCCACTTGAAGGGGAGGGCACTATTCTGTGGTTCAGCAAAAGTTTGCCGGACCATGGAGATAACTGCCCTTTTTTCTCTCTCCACTCCTTTCCCATATACATCTCCCCATATGGCTCTTAGCAACTCGGGATGCTCTGGCTGGCATTCTGCCCAGCTCTTGCCAACCAGTAACATCACTGGTTGCCAAGAGATGGGCAAGACGCTGGCCAGATCATCCCAAGTTGCTAAGAGCCGTATGGGGAGATATGGCCATACACATCTACCCACCCACCTCTTAGCAACCAGAGCGGGCAGGGAAATGTGTATGGGAACGGACGCTGGCCAGAGCTTCCCAGGTTGCTAAGAGCTGGATGGGGAGATGTGTATGGCCGTTACACATCTCCCTGCCCAGCTCTTAGGAAACTGGGATTCTCTGGCCAGCATCCCCGCCAGCTCCTGGCAACCAGTCACTGGTTCCAGGAGCTGGGCAGGACGTCAGGGGAGCAATTTGTTGTAAATACGCCTCTACTTGATGGTATGTGTAATTTCACCACAGCTGGAGTGCAGAGGTTGCCTACCCATCATAAAGCATACATGCATTTGCATTCAGGTGCATTATAAAAGGGCCACTTCCATGTTTTTGGCACATTGATTGTCCATTTGAAATGAATGGGCAATGTAATGCACATTGATGTGCCAAAAATGCTCACATAGGTGGAGGGGAGCCCTAATGATAAAAAAAAGAAGAAAGCAGAGCTTGTTGCCCATGGCAACAACTCGGAATATTTGTTAACCTTTTCCATGCAAAGAAAGGTTAAATATTTCATAAATTTATTTTCCTCGTGAATCTGCCTCAGTGTGAAAACTGGACTATTCTGTGATATTCTTCTGGTTATGACCTCACAGTGGGAGTGATCGTGCCTGAGATGGCTCACCATCTATGACACCACCGACAGGGATACATGTCACAAACCCTGATGTCCCTAATAAACTTTACAGGTGATACATCACAGTTGTGTCCCCCTGCTCCTTTCTCACATCCAGGCACAGTTCATCAAAAACACATATTTGATGTTACATTTTAAGACTTTGCTTCAAAAGAGGGGAGCCGCCTAATGAGTTACTTGTTCGCAAGCTTCACCACACGCCATGACTGACACTGTAAGTCAGTGAAAAGTCCCAGAAGTCTACTCACGCCTACCGCTGCATTTCTCACCACCAGCTAATTAGCAGCGCAGACGGCGTCCCTCTGGTATTCAGTAACAAGACACCAGAGATGGCGGATTAAAGTGGACCTTTACAAGTCTGCTTAAATGAATTCCCAACATGTCACAATATGCGATAACTATCATTCTTCAGAAACGCTCCACCTTTTTATCAATAAGTAGCCTTCATTTAGCTCCAGTTCAGTGACTTTGTCTAGATTGAGATGATGTCTTCGGTCTGCTGCAGGCAGGAGGAAGCATTTCCTCAGTCTCCCCTCCCTCAGAGATCGGACTGCAACATTGTAGCAAGATGAGGCTGCAGCAGGGGCTGATCTGGGTCAGACAAGAATTGCACAGGTACCACGATTTACATGACTGTGTCCTGTGAGTGAGCCGGTGTTTTATCGAAAGTTCCAACTTGTCGACCTCTCCAACTGGTGACATCACATCCGGTGACTGCCAGTAGGAGATCTACAGTAGATGGTGCTAGTGCGCATGCCCAGGAAATCCTTGTCAAACTGTCTAACTATTGCCACAGCGCCTGCGCGGCTATCCACTTCTATAACCTACTACAAACTTATATTTGTCCTAGGTTATAGAAGCCGATGAGCCGATAGCCGCGCAGACGCAGTGGCTATTGCCTCATCGGATTCTATAACCTAGTCAAAGGTTATATTATGTTACAGCGCCTGCGCAGCCACATGATTCTTTCTACAACCACAGATACCACTGCGCCTGCGCTGCTATCGGCTTCTATAACCTAGGACAAATATAAGTTTGTAGTAGGTTATAGAATCCGATGAGCCGCTAGCCGCGCAGGCCCTGTGGCAATAGTTAGACAGTGCGACAAGGATTTTCTGCCCATGCACACTAGCACCATCTGCTGTACATCTCCTACAGGCAGTCACCGGATGTAACTTCACTAGTCCGAGAGCTCGACAAGTCGGAGCTTTCGATAGAACCCCGGCATCTTAGTCCAGGAAGTAGATGGTGAATATGGATGATGCCTAAACAAAGATGGCACCGTTCTGTCAGAGATAAAAGCAGATGAAGACATTTCACGAGGATTACGTAGATCTCTGTTGGAGGTAATAAATCTCCTTATCCATCATTACTGAGCATGCATGTACCTATATGTGATGACAGGTCCACTTTAACCAGCTTGAGGTATAAAGTGCACCTGCAATATTAGTCATTAGTGAGCATTGTAGACTAGGAAGGAGGCATGCAGCGCCTCGTGCTTCACATATCTGCTTACTCTTAATGCAGCCATTTCAGCATCGCACCACATCGCTCACTGCGTCTGCCTTGGCGTCGCCATCCGGAACGCTGGCTGCGAAGGGGTTAACTGCCTTCTCTCTAATCCTGTTTTTATCCGAGTTTGTTTTCTGTGTTCCAAACGACATAAACAAGATAATTTGACAGACAGAGTGAATCGAGACGCTCAGGGGTAAATTAGGATTCCTCTCAAGGGCTTAAGGTTTTTGTTTTTGTATTTTTTGTTTGCGGACGGCGTCTTCCTCCAGTCACCTTCACAGATGTGATTCTGCACGCTGCCTGTGGTTTTTCTCTCACAATGAGTAATTGATAGTACTCAGATGACTTTTACATGTGACTTTGCTCAGCTTGGTTATGTAAAAAGTGTGGAGAAGCGGCAGGAAAACACTTTAACACCTTCCTGCCAGAGAAACGGGTCGCCCCATTTGGATTCCTAGCCGAATAATGGCATGGAAAGCGTCCTGGTTCACTCCCTCCAAGAACCGTCCAGTGACTTTCCTGAGCAGAGGACGTTAGGTATTCAAAGAGAGATAATTGTCCGGTTGGCGCGACTTTGCCAATCGTTCCTATTGTAGGTCGATGGAGGGGGGAGCAGAGGGCAGGGAGATGCTATGGGACCTGCTTATCTATGGGGGATAGAGGAGTTTATGGCCAGGAGAGGGTTTTTAATGTTTGATTGGCATGCCCCAAGAGAAGGCAGCCAACAGGTGTCTTCCTGTCCCAATTGGTGGGAAATTGACCCCAGATGCAGCCAAAAGTACACTGCGATGTCACCGAGAATGCAATCTATCCATTCACTAGAGACCGGTGACATCACTGAGAATGTAGCCTATCCATTTACTAGAGATCAGTGACATCACTGACAATGCAACCGATCCATTCACTAGAGACCGGTGATATCACTGACAATGCAGCCTATCCATTCACTAGAGACCGGTGATATCACTGACAATGCAGCCTATCCATTCACTAGAGACCAGTGACATCACTGACAATGCAGCCTATCCATTCACTAGAGACCTGTGACATAGTGGTTGGTGACATCACTGAGAGGCAGTCTAGAGGTCGGTGGCATCACTAAGAGGCAGTCTAGTGGTCAGTGACATCAGTGAGAGGCAGTCTAGTGGTCGGTGACATCACTGAGATGCAGTCTAGAGGTCGGTGACATCACTGAGATGCAGTCTAGAGGTCGGTGACATCACTGAGATGCAGTCTAGAGGTCGGTGACATCACTGAGAGGCAGTCTAGTGGTCGGTGACATCCCTGAGGAGCAGTCTAGAGGTCGGTGACATCACTGAGGAGCAGTCTAGTGGTCGGTGAGCAGCACTCTCTTGCCTGGTATAGAATGACCACTCATTGTTGCAAGGCTCTTCCTACATTCTCCGGATAGTCAGCTGCATTGCGGTTGACAGTTGAAGTCGGCGATCACATGTCTCTGCTCCCATCACTCTCATCCCACGTTCTCTGCTCACAGTAAACACATATGTTTACCCCTCCAGAGTGACTGCAGCACAGAGCCTGTGAAACAGACCTGATCCGCGTATCCTCTTTTTATAAATAGTGTGAAAGTCACCTGGCTGAATAGATTTTATATTTATCTCAGCGTAGGCTGTAGCTCTGAACGCCGTCCTGTCACTCACATATGCTGCATATCATTCCTCCCTTCTTCTAATCCTGTGAGAAGAAATGTTTCCTAAAGGGGCACTCTGGTATATTTGGATTTTGGATTACTTTACTTTTTTGCTGTTCCATATTTTGATTGTTGTAATTCATACACAAATCTGTTATATCAGGGAACCCATGAGGATACAAACAGGGGAGGTCCATCTAGGGCTAAGCTGCATCAATTGGCCACAGATGTATTGCTCCTTATGGGTGTCAGTCTGTCCGTCTCTTCCAGTGAAGAGGATCCTTTCATTCCAAGTTCACGGAAAATCCAATCCCCGATGAAAGGGAATTCCCAGAGCCCCCTGAAACGCGTTGGATTTTTATCACCACCCCAATATGTGGACTCTGACCATTGGTTTGGCCCTCTTATTAGACCTGGAGCCAGCACAGGTTGGAGTCTAGAATTTTTAGATTCACTGGCTACATGCTTGTTGTAAAGCCAGGATGAAGATGACAGCCTGCACCCTTAAAAATACAAAAACCCCGCAATGACATATATCTCTCACAGGCTCTCTTCGGTGACTGCTGAGATAAGCTCAGTTAGCCTTGTAGCAAAGCCATATTGTTTATGGTAAGGTGTGGCGTATAGGGTTGCACTGAGATGGTAGAAGAATGAAGCACAGCCATTGAGCAGCGTTACTGAACACGCAGTGCCACAATGCATAGCCAAGCCATAGCAGTTGCAGCTCTGCATCTTCCAAGTCATGTAACAATGAACCAGCATCATCACACTGCTCAGGGCCTCCATTTCTTCTCCTCCTGCTTGTAGCAGACTAAGTGCCACCCTTGCCATGTCCAGTGCCTGAAACATGTTACCTCGAAAGCCCTGTGCAGTGCAAATCGGCCTTATTGGCAGCCTAGCAATTCTTTTATGACAGGTCCCCTTTGAAATGTCGTGCATCGCATTCGTCACGTCCTTCTTGTCTCTTACAGATGTGGCTGAGGAGGAAGACGGTTCGGAGCGAGCGTGTGACACATTGCTCATGTGCATAGTGACCGTACTGAACCAGGGCTTGCGCAATGGCGGAGGGGTGGGCGACGTCCTCCGGAAACCTTCCAAAAATGTAAGTCATGGCGTATCGGGGGGCAGTGGGGGGGGGGGGGGGGACGCCCCTGCCCCCTTT